AAAAATCGACGCGAAAATATCACCGAAAACGTTCGATTCCCCGGATACCGAAAAAACACTTCCAGTGTTCCGGTCTTCTCCAACAATTTTTTTTGTTGATTCAGCCAAGTTCAATTACCGCCAATTCAGACCATTTCGAGTCTAACAATTTACACCATTTTCAGTTAACACCGAAAAAAAATTGACAAAATGTAAATTATAACTCGTTCGTTCGCCATATTTTTAATAAAGACTGTTTAAATCCTCTGTGAGCTTTGCACGTGCTTTTCATGAATTTATATGAATAGACTTCATAACTACTCATCAATTTTCTTTCTTTTTTTAATTAAATTTGACGGGTAGGAAAAGCAAATATTACGAACTGAAAATGAAAGAAAGGGATCCAATAATCCATCAGAATCTCAAACTCGAGAATGACGTCTGAAGCAATATTTTGTCGACCTACATACTGACACTTCGTTCCAACCACGCAATATTAGAATGTTTTGTTTCGATGGAGGTTGAAAAGAAAACTTAGATATATGTAACGTTCATTTGCGTACAGCGTTTTCTCTATGCAGCGTGATTTATTGTACTTACAATAGAAACTTCGCTCTAAATTAATTGCCAACAATTTCGCGATTTTTCCAGCGAAATGATGACTCGCCCGGCATTTTAATCGTAATTAAACTTTTCGAAGCGTCTCGAGGAGAATAATTTTTAACTACATCGGCGAATCGTTATACAAAATCCTTGATATTTTTCCATTAAAGTTCGCTCGCATTAAAACGACTTCTGGAATAGTTTTCGAGCAATTCGTCGGCAGTAAAACATAGGAAAATGGAACGGATCCGGATAATGAGACTCAGAAAAGGGCTGTCAATCAAGGTCCTTTTCGCTTTAAGGCACGTCGCTTTTCCCAAGAGTCAGAATTTTCTTTTTCTCTGTTAAATCTAATGGCGGTTCGATCGTGGACAAGTTTTTTTAATTAATCTAGGTACGTATTAACTGGAGCACCATGATCGATCGGAAACTTAATATTTAATGAACGATTTACTCGTATTTATCATCGACTCGTTTAAGTATTACAAAAACAAAACTATTTTTAGCGGGAAATTTTCGAAATTTTCGATATTTTCTTTTTGACTAGGTTTCAGCGGGAAATTTGAAGTTATCTAAATTTAAATATATACAGGGTAAGAACGTGTAGTTACAGAAGATTATTTAGAGTAATTTTTAGAAATATACTTTAGTGATTAAAGCTGCATGTCAATGCGAACTTACGTGCCTGCATAGTTTGATATAATTAAGCCGTTCCCGTTCGTGATTTTTTTTTCACCGTAAAAGCTGATTAGGTATAAGGTAAATCATGCTAACTGGCCATACGTTGCGAAACTAGAATACAGTATATACATGTTTTCGGTGACCTGTTTCATAAATACATAGTAATGTGTCAAACAGCGTATATCACACTATAATTTTTAGTTTCCTAAAAAGCCAATGCTTTTCGAGTATCTATGCTGAGCTGGATTTATACGATGAAATAATTTAACCTTAATGACTTGGTATAAGTATTTTTATCAATATTTTGGGATGCTTTTTGATATGATATTCTATTGGAAGAATACACTGCAGAGAATCTAAGCTGTTTTGTCGCCGAAGCCATTAAACGAGGCAATATTATATTAACTGCTAGTCTCCACGAAAGACTACATTCCATAACATAAAAAAAGGAAAATCAGAACAAAACGGACAATTTATGATTATTTTCTAAAAGCCATCTAAAATGGGTCAGATCAATACAAACCAGTGACGTAGCTCTACATTTATCCAACAAGAAGTAATAAAATTGAACAACAATTTTTATATAAAAAATTCACAAATGCTACAATCGATAGGTACAAAAGAAGTCTGGAATTATTCCTGTTGCACCTTTCTCTCTACCTTCATACACCAAATCATCCCTCCTTTTAATCAATACCTACCTTCATGTACGTTTGTTTTGAATTGGAACGCAAAAAACCGTGCAGAAAAATAGCCCTTTTGTATGAAACGTCATTTCCGTTTCGCATACGATCCAATTTCACAGTAGTAGTTGTACATAGTAGGTAGCGCATTCACGTTTTGGGATGTTTCGTAGAACTTTTATGAACTGTTTTGCGGCTTTTGAACTTTAACAGGAGTGACAACGACATCAAAGGCTTCGAATAAGAGCGCCTTGTTCACGACCGGCGATTTTTCTCCATTCGTATTGCACTTTTTTTCAAAACGGCTCTAATTTGATAAACCGATAAAACATTTCCGAGTGTGATAAAATAATTGGATAAATTTAAAGGTACAAACAAAGGGTTCTATAGGACGGTCGCAGAGTCCCCGGGAAATAACCACAAATAATTCTTCTGATGAATTTTTGATTGAGAATTCAATCAAACTACATAGTTCACAAATATTTGCGAGCATTTTTATAGGGTGGCACAAGTTTTTGCATACCGTCCTCATGGAAGTTTGCCGACTTTGTGAGGAAAAATAAATAGATAGAAATAGTTCATCAAAAATAAAATTAATTCAATTCTACTTGAACTGTTCACATTGTGGTCCTACACAAATACAAAATTTAGGAATTCCAGAAGTGCCGGTTAAGGCCGAATTGAATAATTACGACAGCGGTAGACGTTTCGACGAGTTCTCGTGAAATTCGTAGAGCACGTCTTGCGGTTTCCACCTTTGGGCTCAATAAGGGGCTACCGCCGGGCCGGCAGAACGGATGTAATAAGCATAACTATGCCATCCAGAATTCCTGGATCGTGCATGGGAAAGTGCTCTCCTGCTAAATTGCCGGGACCAATAACTCGGGTTGTCGTTACGGAAACTAAGATGTTTTCGCTCGACGGAGGTGTATAGCTGGCGGTTTATGATTCGAATTTTCTCGTCTATTGAATGAATTCCAATCATCAAAAAACCTATCAATACCCTACTATAATTACACAAAGTTTTGAAATGGATATCCATATATGTTTCTCAATATATGTTTGATCTCAACTCAATGCATCAATACTAAGTTTCCTTGGCACGCTAAGAGGAAATACTTACGTAAAATTTTTGTACGTACATGGCAATTTCTGCTATGGCATCCGGGATACTTAAGAAGCAAAAGGGATATCCGGAAATCTATATGGAATAACCGCAGAGCGGGCGATTTTTGATTGAAGCATTAACCGTGTAGCGCGATCTGAATACTAAAGAATGTATAATATGTGAATATATGTAGGTCATCGATCTTTTTTTATTCCTTTTATAGTTGGTAATACATACATAGTATTGATATTAATTTTGTGTATATTTCGCTCTGTTATCCAAATTTAATAATTCTTTTTTTACTGATACTCAATCTGTTATTACTTGAATGAACCTAATAACAGACGATTTTACTTTAATAAAAATTGTATCAATATTAGTATTTGCAGTTGAAAGAAATATCGAGTCTTATTAAAAAAGTCTTGCTCGCTTTGATGAATTCAATACAGTCGACCATTTTAATTAAATTATATGTATAAATTGCATAAGGAATCGTTGTACCTAAAATATCGCAGTGCTTCGAATTTTTGTCGATAATTGGAAATATTGAAAGAAAAAAAAGACGATGTGTGCTCTAAATGAAAAATCAGAGGAAAGTCGTTTCCGGAAAAAGGTTTTCAGCAAAAGAACTATATCTTTTGATGAATGGTAACTGCGAGGTTAGAATTATTATTGGTTGATTCTTAATATGTGTGGGCAAAAAACTGCGGATATATTTTTTTGTTAGATTAAAACAGTACGAACCACGGAAAATATAATTTCTAGTGTAATTTCTATTTTCAAATTTATTAGAATTAAAATCTCTACTATATACATATAGTCTACATTCAGACCTATAGCAGAATCAGTCCTGGGTAGATTAGTTTCATTGAATATAGGCTAAACTGTAAATAATCTGATTTTAATCCATTTGCGCAATTTATACTCCAGCCTTTGGACTATCCAAATTGTTTCTGAATCCAGGTTAAATATATAATATTGCACCAAGTACACAATAATTCAGGTAGATTATAGATTTTACCAGGGCAAGCAAAATATAAGTTTTTTAATAGTAGACAACATCAAATTTGAGATGTTCCAATCATTTAAAAATTTATACATATTTGCATATTTCATAAATTTACATTAGAAATTTACCAAGTTATTCGATCAAACATTAATATGGTGCGCAAACACTATATGAATCCAACGTTACATAATTCGTTTCGGGTGGTAAATATCGATTAAACTAGCCCAACATTCAATTATCGAAGGCGGCTCTATTGAAAGACGTTCAAATTATAAATAAAGATATATCGAGTAATTAATATGAACATGAAATTATCGATTCATTATAAGTTACGATTACTGTTTAATCGCATATTATCCCTTTATTGATTCGAGTTTTTTATTACTTTATCCCATTTTCCTCATATATCTACATACCTACTTATTACGCAACCAGCAAATACACCGCAATATTCGCTAGAAAGAAATTACTGGCTTTTTGACATAGAAAGCAACGTAATAAATGATTATCAGTGGCGAAATAACGGAGCAAATTGTTAGTTAACAACATAAATTAGATCCACCGACATCGGTATGAAGAGCAATTTTGACGTTTACAATTGGAATAAATGTGTGCGAATTAGATCGATTGCGGTGATTAAAATAGTTATTGCGAACAGTTAAATTGATATTACTTGATTTAACCGGTTGCGATGGGTTGATGGATTTTTGGTGTCCGATTTATCACATTAATGTAACCGTATACGAAGGGAGTAAGATATATTCACCCTGTATAGTTAACGATTCCGATTCATATTTCGAATTGCCTTTCGGAAGATGTCGTCCATTTTTTATGCAATATCCAGCCGAGTGCCAAAACAGTTTGACTTCCTCCTTTTTTTCATCTATTGTAAGATGTAACGTATCTATCAAGCACTCATTCTTTTTATTTCTTCCAGTACCGCCTTCGGGTATCCAAGTGAGCGATGACTGGGGTCCGGTGAAAAATGGAATCACGACGGCGTACGCCGAAGGGGCCAGCTTAATGTTAACGTGCGTCGCGACGTCAGGAAAACCACTAGCTAAGGTGAGGACCATTTTGCATATTCAATGTTTGAAACGTGCAAATTCATTCTAGCATTTTTCATTCTCTTGTTTAGTGCTCTGTAAGGAAGACATTACCTATATTAAATTTGGATTATACATTTTAATTCCGAATGACTTAAAGGCTTTTAGAACGTAGAACAAACAACTGGCTTTTTGCCCACAGACTAATTAACCAAAATAGGAGGGAATATTCAGAGGGAGTTTTGAAATTTGGGGCAGCCATTCATTTCAGTATCCTGTATAATATGCAGAAATTTCCCGAGGGTTAAGAGTGAGATTAAGGGGAAAGTATTTTTAGCTCTTTTTTTACTCTTTTTTATTATTTCGGAAAATTCTGTTTATTTTCACCAACGCAATTAAAGTAAAAGTTATTAAATAACGAATGAACTTTGTTACCTTTGGCAAGTTTACTCCATATCAGTAATTTTATGACTAATTTTCTTGGGCTATGAGCTCTAAAGTCCACAGAAGATTGAAGTGATATTAGAGAGGAAAGGAAAATGTACGCACTATACTACAATCCCTAATAGAAAATACATTATAGGTATTGCTCTAAGAGAATTTAACGTCTGTAAAAATATCGCAGCTCTCCTAATGTAACTTATCCTTGCGTCATCATCGACGATATTATGTCTCTATGGATTATATCCCGAGGAAACTCCATTGTATTAGATCTATTTTTTCATTTTTATTATTATCTTTCGTGCTTCCTAAAAGCTTTTCCGTAATATGTTAGTTTTCTTTTCGAGGGAATACTAGATATTTTTCCACAAACATTTTTTTTAATATACCTTCCTAGAGAATGAAAATCTCTAAGCACACTTCAAGAATTCTCTTAAAAACAGATTTAAATTTTCAATCGAGATACTTACCAAATTTTTCGATTGTGCTTTTCCTACAGCATGATTGTTCGCGTTTTTTCGACCTTACTTTATTCCAAAAACAAAGTTTCAAGCACTTAAATAAGAAGTTCCTTAATTTGCAGGAAAAAAATGAAAAATCGGATGCCGTTATAGTCCGAACAATACTCTCGACTTGAATCAGCTTAAATATACCCTTTTCAAACTTTTCGAGTCTCCAGAGCTATTATAGAAAAAAAAAGATTATAATTAATGGCTGGAGTTCAAAATTTTTCTTCGGTATTGAATTCTTTGTAACACCTTCACGAAATTGTATTTTTTAATCTCCTCAAATTTTATTGAAATATTTTTTGAATACTAATATAGTCAATGCTGAAGAGTTTAATCGTTAATTAAACATTGAGTTAAAAGCAGAAATTAGTAGCTAAAGCGATTTCCTACTTCGTTGCCATCTATTTATTTAGTCTGTGCTCGTTGTAGTGCCTTTTGGTTTCTCATAAATATTAAAGCCGTCTACCCCCTTTAGAGAACTGTATTCTACTCGGCTCTCTCTGAAGACCGCCATAGATTCAAAAACAAGTTGACCACAATCCGGCAGGGCTGAAACTTTCGACTGAGGTATATAAAACTGAAAGCCGGCGAATTTTGCGCTCCTAAAGTTTGGCTTTTCGAGCTTTGAGGCACAATAAAATGCTTCGAATTTTACTGCACGCATCATCATTAAATGTAGCTTCTTTAACATGCCTGTAAATACCACTGTATGTTAATGACGGGCACCAAAGACTCATAAAGATTATTTAAATATTGCACGAGTTTAACCGTTGCTCTGTCTCTTATAATAGTTCCCAAGATTCTCATGCTGTTTGATTCTTATTCGGGGAGCGGCGTATAGGACTAATAATAGAAACGAGTATATCCATACATTATACCTATTCGTTTGGAAAAACTTTCTGCCGATTCATTTTTACTATCGGTCGAATTATTCTAACTTTTCTATCCTTCGACGGGTAGAAAAGGCGTCGTCAAAGTGAAAACGCTTTCAATTTAAAATCACTCTCCATTTGGGAAATGGAAGACGTCTGTTTTAGACTCTCGCTATTCTAATAGACAAGAACAAAGCGCTTTCGACCTGAAAAACGGTTTTAGGAGAACGTTGAGGCATAAACTGAAAATGCTCAGAGGCTAGCGATATAAGCCTCGGTGTCCTGTTTTTTTTTAAAGATTATTTATCTTTCAAAAGACCTTCGTTTTTTTGGAACATCAAAAGTAAAGAGAAGGGTACATTTAATTGGTAATTATCTAAAAAAATATTTAGGAGTCGTTGGTAAAACATGTAGAAGGCAATTTTTCTATCTGTATATGCAGAGTTTGTTTGTAAATGAAGCTTTTTCCGTTAGTTTCAACTGACCTATTCGCCTCCTAGCAGATGGAGTAAATAAAGTTTTCCGTCAGGAAACCGGCAACAAATTGTTGGTGAATATTTTACGAAGAGACGTTTACAAAACGCATACAACGAATAGAGAAGGAACTTAGTAATTACTTTTTCTATTACCGTTTTTTATTTTATTGAAGCATTAAGGGGCGCTTTTGCGCCGCGTTCCGGAGTTCTAAAATAAAAGTTAATGCAAATGAATAGAAAATGTGGATCGTACGTTCGCGAAGAAGAACTTAAATTGCTTTAAACAAATAATTATCTAGAAATTGAGCTAAGTACAGTTTTTATAAAGAAAAAATCTGAATTTCCTGTATTCCAAATGGCGGGGAACACTTTTTCTTTTTAACGACTCTTTTGCCAGTAACACACAATTAAAACTTTTCGATTTTTCATCATCAGAGTTCTCGTCACACCCATTTAGGTACTTTCATCAATCACAATCGCATTTTTATTTTGTTTCTCTCCAGGTCTCCTGGTGGAGGGACAGAAACCTCGTCACCGAACAAACTGAGTATTTTTCCGATCGACGGAAATCCCAGAACGTCCTAAAAATCGACAAGCTCACACGTTCGCACCTTCTCGCTGTATACAGGTAATTTATTCTTTTCTCCGATTTTCCAGGCCGTAGATAAAAAGTCCTATAAAATTAAATTATTGTTTACATTGAAGTCTTCTTATAAAAGCTTCATCATTTATCGGTATTGAATTTGTTGTCAAAATAATATGATATGAGAACGCTTTTGTTTAAATATTAATTTCTGAGTTATCTTCACTCATCTAGTAACAAATTTATTAGTCGAACACAAATTTAGTTACGGGAGTTTGAGGACTTTAAGAAGACCTATTGTGAATACGCGTGTATTAATTAGATCCACTTTGTTTAAATTGTAGTTGCGAGGCCAGTAATAGCCGGCTTCAACCACCTTTAGTAGTTCGTACGGCCATCGACATGTACCTGAGACCTCTTGAAGTGCTTCTCATCGCTCCAACGGGAAACAAGCCAGCTTTTAGTAGCGGGAAGCGGTATAATATCACATGCAGTTGTCGAGGATCCAGGCCTCCTGCCATTGTTACTTGGTGGAAGGTAAGTTTGCAATATGCTTGTATTAAACCTATATTATAAGTGAGTGAGATTACTTCATGAGTGTAAGTTTCAAAATATCAAGGTTGAAGTTTATTAACAAAAGTTAAATCTTCAATCGCTATACATATAGAGAGTACTATTTTTAAGTCGATTCAAATAGTTAGTCTTCGGATGAAACTCGATGGTTTAATGATTCGAAATCAATCCCGAGTTCGCTTTCTGGAACAATACGAAGGGAACAATGTGTGGCTCTTAGAACAAACAGCGTCCAGCCTAAATATACAAGGTGCCGAGATTATAGGGGCATTCAATACAATCCGGATATCGGAGCGTGGCTAAAGCGATAAGTAACTAAATCAATGGTTTACAAAGAAAGGGTCCATCGTCGTGTGAACGTCTCTCAGACTATCTGACTAGTTGGCTCGGTTGGGAAGCGTCGAAGAGGTCACTTGTAGTCAAGAATTTAACGTGCATAAAAGTTAGCAAAAGGAATCATTAGGCCGGAAATGTACTGCATCGATTGGAATTTGCAATATAAATTCTTCCCTCGGCGAATTAATCATACTTAGCAGTCTTGATTATTTATCAATATTGGGTAATTGTCGATTTGTAATATTAAAACGCAATTAGACATTTAATCATTGAGTTCACGGGATTTCATTTAATAATTTATAGTTTAATTAATTTATAAATGTATTGACAGAATCGGATCGAACTTAAATTTGATTAATTCATTTATTTATCCGTGATTTGCTGACATGCAACGTGGTATAATTGAGTATTCGGCGAAATTAATTTCTAGTTTCAAACAGGGGAATTTGTTTTTAATGTTGTTGCGAATTTAAATTAAAAAATATGACTTCCTGATTTTTCTGAAAAATAAAATAATCATATTTCGCTGTTCGGAGTTTGGAAATAAAAAATACCAAGTAGGTATATGTTTGCTATCGATTGGAATGTAGCAATATTTTACTTTCGGCCTTTTACGATATTTGAATTTTACAGAACGCTTTTTCAAATATAAAACCAAATTTCGATTGAATTTTCGAACGGTAACTAAATTTGTTAATTAAACTACTTTCTCGTTAAAATTTTCATTGTGCGTTTACAAAAAAAAATGGAATAAAATTTTATACACATACCTATATACTTCACATAAACTGGATAAAAATATGGATAGGTATTTCTAATAAATTTATGAATTTATATTTGAATTAAATATTCTTTTGTGTTATAGAAATATTCTATTGTTAAACCAACATGAAAATCTAGGATATATCCAATTTTACCTATATTATAGATACGCTTTTTCGACTAACGCGGAATAACAAAAACTTTCCAAAATGGAGTTATAAAATTTCGTGTCACATAAAATATGTTGTTCGCTCAGACATAATCTTTATTTGGAAAGAGAAATTACGGGCCAAGTTCGATTTTATTCCCCGAGCGGGATGGAAGTAATTTAACTCGGCTCTAAGAATTTAAAGTTGCCTCTAAGAAGTCCAATTTGCTAGTGAAATCTCCGCAATTATTTTGCAGTTTAACCGAAATGTGAGGTTTTTCATTTGCCGAATCCACCCCGTGAAAGTTGTGAACTTGTTTGAATTTTCGCTGAATATTTATGTTGACACAGCACTTGATGCAATTTCCCGGATCGCTGTCTCCGAAGATTTTTAATTATTTATGCAGTGCATTAAAATGCGCTTTGAGCCATTGAGGAAAAAGTTTTCTTATTCTTTGAGCTACAAAACTTTCTTATTTCACCGACCTATTGCTTATTTATAAGCTTAGAATTTATGCAGAATAGCCCAATGAAGTCCTTACTGACTGACTCAATGATTGATGCAAACTATTTTGTTAATATATCACACATTTTTCCGGTTTTCCAAATACAAATCAACTTGAACAAGTTCTCTTTAAAAGCTCAAAAGAACCAAAACGTATACGTTCTTTAACCTGCTACCTTGGAGAAACATAAACATTCAAGAATAATGCGCTTCGAGATTTCTCCAACAAAGAGAAGGTTTCTTTTTTCCCGTTCGAATGGATAGGGGTGTGCGGTTTACAGTTCGCTTAAAAATGCTGCATTCTAGGGATTTCTATTTGGAAAATCCTCGCCTCGCGGGACGTTTTAGAAAGTCGCGCCGGCGAAAATCCTTTTCGGTTTAACACAAAAAAATATATTTTAAATTATATTCTAATAGGATGGATGGTTTGAGGGCGAATGGATATAAAGGTTAATTGGATGAAAATAGATATGGCTGGTATTGAACGGAGGTTGATTGAGTTAACCCAGATTTATCACAATTGTGGAAATACGAGGATAAGATAGAAGAGAATTAAATTTGCATATTTAGAATGTTTCGTATGTATATTTTGTTAACGATTGACATTTTTGTATATATGTATTAAAATTTATTAAGTATTAATACATTAATTATTAGTTCCAACAAACGAATTAATTGGTACACGTGAATGCTGTGTAAACCTGTTTTTTTTTTTGTTGAAATTAGTGCGACCATTAAATACCGAACTTCCTGAAAATTACCTGCATCTGAAACTCCTGTCGCTAAAGCAGAATTGCTGCATAAAGTTTCAGTCATCTATAGAGAGTAATTTTGAAAACTAATTAGTGAATGCAAAAAAGTCTTTTCATTTAACGAAAGTTTCGTAATGACCGTTTACGACGCTTTACGATCAAATTATGATTATTTAGAGAAACTTGAAATATTTTCCATCAACATCCGTAAATATTTTAAAATGAAATTATATCGGTTTGGATATTTCTATTAGTGTAAATTCCGGTGTAGGTAACAAGGAGAAAATTTAAATGCGTTGGTGTTAATTCAATGAAGTACCTGATTTTAGCGAGTTAATTAATGTAGAGGTTTTCCAGTACACTTAAATAAAAATAGCTAATTTATGTATGTAATGAATGTATGTTTATGAAATTATATATGTAATTACTCGTACTTCAAAAAACTCAATTCTAATAAAAAAAAGAAATTGTAGATATTTATTAGGACCCGCGTCCTGGAGGCATTTCCTTGCGTACCGTAAAGAAGATATATTATTTGTCGTACATGTTGTTTTTTTTAAGTATAACCTATGTTCCTCATCGCGAATTTCTCTCACGGCTAAATGAAATATACTGCCAGGAAAAAAAAGCGTATCACGAGTCGCGACTACGGCACCAGATAGGAGTCGTCGGACTTGTTTATGCATCTAACCAAATTGATGTATACGACACGAGTTCATGAAAAATAAAAGTAAACGACGTTCTTTGCCAACAGTTGCGCCCCAATTCTTCCGCTAAAGGTACACCAACAGCATCAGAACGTTAAAATAACGTAAACCTTAATGCTCGCTTACGTTACGTTAATGTTGAACATCCCTTGACCTTCAAGGTACCTACTATAAATTAGCAGTACCTATTAAGAATACTATTTGTTAAAAATATCATTGAATCAGTCAGCGAATAATTTGTAAGTGGGAGTTTTACAGATAGCTACTTGACAATCGGGTTTACAAGAAGTTTAAGTGGCGTCCATGTTCGCGATGCGGTTGCTCCGGTTCTCTTTTTTCCTATCGTCTGACCGCGTTTCGCTCGCAGGCCGCTCCAGTTTTCGGCAACGCCGGTAAAACTAATCTCTTGTACGGGAAGATCTACTGTTCGCCGGAATTTTATTTATTTTTCCGGTTCAAAAACCGACAAGGTCACGCTAGACCGGTGACAAATCGATGCAAAAACGGCCATCTCATCGCGAGCGGATTAGGGGATGGATGTTTGGTTTAAGAAAATTATGGATTTGGTCAAACAATGACGCCTAGTGGGAATTAGATAAAGCGCAGCAATGGCAAATATTGATATCCTTCAACTTTTCCGGAAGTTGAGAGAATCTTACATGAAGCGCTTCATCGTGTTTGCATTCGCATTCGCAGAGCAAGAACAACGTTTGGGCTTTGGGTCTTTATTAACCGAATTAGTTTGAGCTGGATAATATATAATCGAGTCTTAGATGTGTAATTGCCACTTGTGTTTCGCGGTAAACTGGCAAAACCGACGACGGTTTTATTAACTCGAAGTTTGGTTGTTGCCTATTTCCGCCCAAATTATCACCCAATGTTGAAATTGAATTTGCTTTGGCTCGGAAAAAGCTTGCTCACAAAAGCTCGCTTAATGCAAGCGATAAGAAATGGGGTTGAATAGAACAAAATACTCTAGTGTATAATAAGAAAATGATTATTCATATTTTACAACATAGTTACTTTGCCAGAGATTTAATAATTCATTTTGAAATTATAGTCCGGAATAAAGGAGATAAGAACCTTAAAATCAATCAGCTGTCTTTCTTTGAGGGCTGATAATTAATAAAAAAACCGCCGAGGAACTCGGAGACAAATAGAAGGAAAACGATGGCGGTAAACGGTAATCGTTTGCAAGAGTGCGCTCGCTGGAAATGATCTGCAAAATTTTATTGCCGTAATTCATTTGCTTCGTTTCTTTTGTTCTTTTTTTATCGCTATCGCTCCCAGGTCGATTTAGAAATTAAATTTTAAATATTCGGTGCACTCTTTATTAGTACATGTCTATTTATCTAGAGAAAGTATGAAAAATATATCTAGATATGAATAGTTTTAGATTAATACTAAATGAATAAAATTGAATAATTTTAGAATAATTCATTTTTAGCATCTAGTTGAGGTCTACTCTACTTACTATCTCCATTAAATTACGTTTTAAATTTTAATTAAATCCCTCTCTAAAATCTCTATATACACTGTGTTATTTATAAGATGCGACATAGGGATTCCTGTACAAATGTGTCAAAAGCAAGCTAACTTTTTTACCAAGTAACGTTCATAAAAAATAATAACAGATTTGAAAAGATCGTAAAAAAATAAGTCGAAATGAACATTACATTTTCTTAAATTCGTTCTGGTTTATTAAAAAATTGTATAATTAAGTTGAAAAAGTCATCCGTCATAAATAATTCCTT